ATCACTTTGAGGGAGTGCGGTAGAAAAAGGTTGGATGAAGTAGAGTGAGAAGTGACCTAATCAGTAATAACCTCTAGCGAATGTAATAGAAAAGCCCGATGGGTAGCTGGCCAGCAGGACGAAAACAGAACTTGTGGCTTATTTTTAATAGGTCGTCACAAATTGCTAAATAACTCCTTGGACTCACCATTAATCTACCTCAATCCTGTGGGGAGCGTGAATGTGTGTGTATCGTCGATCCTCCGGGATACTTCGGGAAGACTCCCGATTAATCCTGAATTTGAAATAGTTGCCTGATACGGTTGACTTGAGTATAGCGATCCTCTCGATGAAGTTCGCTGCTGATCAGGATGATCCACCAAAAGCGAATTGATCTTCCTCGCTCCGAAATTCGAACCGCGCGGTCAAAGTCAACGACAGAGTAGTTGTCACACCTGCTTCCGGCAAGGCTGAAAAAGATAGGGAACAAACTGTCTTCTCGCCGTGTCAGTGAGAGACCTACGTACACTAAAGCGTAAGCGTTCCTGCGTGTACATGCTGCGCATGCACACCATGTTGTCAAACGTGGGGGATCGAATAAAAGGAGTAGCTTATTTCCCTTGTGTTTTAGGTCGCTTCTGGGAAGGTCTCGGCTCATACCCTATCTAATTCTATCTCAAAGGCTTGTATTGTGTTTGGTTTACTGGGGAGACGATCACAGAAGTTAACCACCCTGTTGGTGAAGAAATGTTTCCTCACATCCAAACTGCTTCTATTCTTTTCTGGGTGATATTCGTGGCCTCTCTCCTGGATCTCAGAGGTAGGAGACCTAGATCGGCGTTCTTTGTTTGTCTGAAGGCTTCTATCCGGTCTCCTCTTAGACGTCTTGTACGCATAGAGAAGAGGTTCAGATGCTGAAGCCGGTCCTCGCAGGATAGCCCTTTGGTTTTACGAACCATTCTGATGGCTAGCCGTTGCACTTTTTCTAACCTGTCTACGTCCATTACCCGGTAGGCAGCCCAATCATGGGCGCAGTATTCTAGGTGGAGTCTGACGAGTTCCCTTTACAGAGGGGTGAATAAATCCGCTTGTCGCCTGGTTATTGCAGTTGTGGGTGTAAACAGCGCCTTCCTGGCTTTGTGGGCTGCTTTGGCGCATTGTTCGCTGGGTGCAAAGCTGGCTGAGACTGTAGCCCCAAGGTCCTTGACACACCTCTCGTGTTTCAAAGTATGTGTTTCTTGATTTTGAGCGTAAGTTGCAGGGGGTTCAGGAGCATTTTTGCTTAGACAACAACATTTCGTTGCGTTCAGCGGCAGCTTCCACCCTACCATCCACGCTGAGAGACTATCTAAGTCATCTGGACGACTGGGCAAGCCGCTAGCTATTTTAACGTCGTCTGCGTAAATGGGTTTACAGCCTTCTCGGCAAGGTCGTTGATATATATGAAGAAAAGGGGTTGTACTATTATTGACCCTTGAGGGACACCACTGGTCGCTTTCCCCTCGCTGGAGATCTTGGATTGTATTTTCACCTAGTATGTGTGTTTGTTGAGTAGACTGGCTATCCAGTCACAGACCTGAGTTGAAGTCCATGTGTCCCTTAATTTATGCAATAAAAGCACGTGATTCACGGGGTCGAACGCCTTTAGGAAGTCGAGGAAGCAAACTTCGACTGTTTTTCCTTTGACTAACCTGCTTGTTAATCTGTCTATAAATACTAAGAGGTTGATCAGACAGGATCGACCCTTGAGAAATCCATGTTGTGTCTTCGAAAAGAACTACACGCCTATTAAGTACTCTACAAGCTTTTTCTTATTATCAGCTCTATCACTTTGGAAACGATGCTAGTCAAGTTAATCGGTCGGTAGTTTTCTATATTAGCTGCATCCTCTTTCCTGTTGATGGGGACAATCGTTGCTCTGCGCCAATCGGCCGGTACTATGCTTGTTACTATCGACTTATTGAACAGGGATGTTAGAGGTTCAGTGATTAGCGGTGCCAGTGGTTTTAAAACCACTGGGTGCAGGTTTTCTGTGCCCGCTGATTTCGTCGGGTTGAGTCCGAGAATCACAGATAGGACCTATAATCCATCTAGGGTTGCATAAGGCTGCAAAATCCTCGTCTACAAAGTTTTTTACAATCGTCCCTACTCGGACGATTGCGTGGAAATGGTCTTTAAATGCGTCTGCAATACCCTGGTCCATATCTATGGTTGTTGTCTCTAGACGCCTGAGCGAACCCATGGCTTTTCGGGATCTAGCTTACGATTGGATGTAGCTATAGAACTCTTTTGGCTGTTCCTTGCCAGTTTTGTTTAATAATGACTTCGGGTTGATCTCAATATGCTGACCGCTTCATGTCTTTGTCTTGTGTTCTGCCGCCAGTTAGCGAATGTTTTTAGCACTGTGTATCTGTACCAGGCGGCTTTGCGTTTCGGTAACGCCTTACGAGCTTCGGCTGTGAATCAGGGCTTCAGCATTCGACTTTGTAACTCCGTTAACTGTGCGTGTCTGTTTGTCAATCTAATTATATTTTTTGATGACCAACCACATTGACTCCGTGATTGGTGTGCCATCGGTAACCCAACTGAGTTCACGGGCGTCTCGTAAAAGTGCGACGTGGTCGGTTTTGCTGTATAACCTAGCTATCCTACTTGGTGGCACTGAAACCTTCAGCATAAGGTGGAACATAATCTCGATGTGCTCCTTTTTTCCTAGTGGATTACCACGGAGTTGTACACACGTCGTGCCCATGCTGCACTCCACAGAACAGTGCGCAGAGTTTTAGAACTTTAGCTTGAAAGAAAGATGGGAATTGGAATCTGCCAAAAGATTATGCTTTGTCTGTTTAAATCCTAAACATTTAGCCTCAGCTTGTTTTCTTCAGATCCGTTGTGCAGAGTAGAACTGCGATAAGTCACATCATACGTAAGGGTTAAAAGGACTGAAAATTCCTCACAATTACCTTGCATTCCATTATCTTTATTCGCCATTCTATCGTGCATTCTTTTCGACAATGGTTTTAATGTCGGTGAATTTTCGATTGTAAACTTTATATTTCACCTATTTACGGTGAAGCATATCTATTGGGCACACGCTTCAAGTGCTTTGTGCTTATATGTAAATGGGATTCAGTGCTTCTTCTTGTTTTATTACGACCAAAGTTTCGATTGAACGCTCTTTGTTGGACTCACCGATGTTTTCGGTTATGTTGAATCCCTTTTCCTTTAACGCTCAAGATTATTTTTCTTGATCTGTTGAAGTGTGCAGAATTTTCCTATTAGTCCAAATTTTCTTAAAGGTGATTCAAATCACTAATTTTCCTATCTAATTGTTACTATCACAGATATTTTTTGTGAATATCTGTAACGTTTTGGCTGGATAGTTAATCACGCTAACTATCGGAGGTATGACTGCCTTTTGTATTTGTTGATTAATGCCAAATTAGTACTGCAGATTGACTTGGTTCTCGGTAATTTGGGCTACGCGTTTCTCTGAGGTTAGGTTATCGCTATCCAGAACGAGCAAACGGTCATTTGATTGAGCACTTACAGTTGAGGTCTTTTTCATTTCGCTCGGACCAGGACAATCGCGTTTTGGCTGTTACATCATAGGCTTCTGCATTTAAACCCGAATAAAACGCATGTCACAAATGCCTCTTGTCAGAGGCTACCTTCTGCGGGGGTGTAAGCCTAGGCGTGATACCAGTTTTGCTAGAAGAACAAAGGGATTCGGTGATCGTCAGTTCATTGTTAGGCAGCGGAGTTGACACTGCTTTCGTTCGAGAAGATCCGTTGCAATTGTTAGGACTTCAGGGAATGACAACTAAGATAAGTTTGGATACTGCGATTGGTGAATCACATCGTTGGTGCACGCGTGTCTCGTTAGGCCTAAGATCTATAAATGGAAAGGACTATGTGGATGTTGCCAGGGCTTATACAATGCCTCCTATACTAAATGTGGAAGCCATTGGACCTACTCAGGAAACGTTGTCCAATTGGTTTCATCTAAACGATGTGGAATTGTCTCCGTTATCCAGTAAAACTCTGAGCATACTTATTGGTTTGGACACTCCTGAGGCTCACTGGGTTTTGGAGCAAAGAAGAGGAGTTTAAGGTGATCCGTATGCAAATCGATCTCCCTTGGGTTGGATGTTACGCGGCCTTTTGGGTAACCACCACATATATGAAGATGGACTGCATACTATTTGCATTGTGTTACATGAGCTGTAGGAAAATCTACAAAGGCTAATAGTTAATTCGATACAAAACCCTCTGCAGAAGAAGAAAGAGTAATTGATATGCTGGAAAAAGCTTTGGAGATTAAGGAGGGATATTTGAGTCTCGGTTCACCTTGGAAGAACAGTTCTCTTAAGGGGAAGTGCAATCAAATTAGTGCCGTAAACCGCTTATTGGCTTCGCAAAAGCGATTTCTTCGCGACAATCATCTCCAAAAAGGATACTAGGTGTGATATCTCGGTATGTGAAAAAGGGTTACGCAAAATCCGTGTTAGTCCGGATGAATTATGTTGGTATCTTCCGCATTACGCTGTTTTACATCCGAGGAAGCCGTATAAGGTTCGAGTCGTCTTTGACTGAGGCAAAGTTTAACTGGTGGATCGTTACATGATCTTTTAATATCTGGTCCAAACCTGGTGTCCAGTTTGGTCGGCGTCTTGATACGGTTTAGATAATGACCTATAGCCTTGTCGGCAGATATCGAGGATATGTTTCTGCAGGTGTGGGTAGCAGAAAGGGATCAGCGTGCACTTCTTCGCTTCTTATGGTACCTTATTGGTGAAATAATGAGAGATCCAGAAGAAATGAGACTCACCGTGCATCTGTTTGCGCTGTCGTCACCGTTTTGTGCAAGCTTTGCTTTGAAAAAGGTGGGTTATCTTTTTGGTTACGAGTATCCTGAATAGTCTTTACTGGATAATTTTCTGAAATCATTTATGGACGAGAATGAAACTGTTTCTGTGGTTGGAAGCTTGTGCAGTTTACTGAACCAAGGTGGTTTCAAGCGAACAAAGTGGTTAAGCAACAGTCGAGAAGTTTTAAATCGGATTCCTGTTANCATCATTGAAGAATATGAAAATCGGGAGTTTGCCGACACAGCGAACTTTGGGTTTATCATGGACAGTAGAGCAGAATGGGTTTGTGTATCAGTTTGAGACGCCAGAACCTCCACCTAATCGGAGATTGCTATCGTCTCAGCTGTCCTTAATATCTGGTTCTTTAGGGTAGATAGAACCTTATGTTTTTCCGTTAAAAAGCTTATTTCAGAAGTTATGTAGAAGAGCCATAGAGTGATTAAAGAATTCCGACAGTCCATGAAGGTTATAAGTGGAATTCGTCGAATTGAAATTCCTAGATGGTATGCTCGCGCCGTAGAAGAGGAGGCAAAGTCAAGTTGCATACCTTTTGCGATGCGTCTTAACTCGGATACGGAGCAGCATGATATTCACGTTTTGTGCAGAATTGTAATCCGTCTTTGTGCGCACTGGTAGTTGCCAAGTCTCGGGAAGCTCCTTTATGAATCGTAGGCATACCTCGTTTAGAGCTGAATGCTGCTGTGCTTGCAGTTGAATTAGCATAAATAGTAAAGAATGAATGTGAGATTATATTTGCTGATACAATTTACTGGACTAACTCTGCCATAGTTTTTGCATTATCTGAGGAATGAGAACAGTCGATTTTCAACGGTCGTGTCTAACAGAATTTCGAAGATCAAGAGTTGGACGACAGTTGATCAATGAAGGCACATCAGTGGAAAGGATAATTCTGTGGATCTCGCGTCCCGAGGAATGAGGAGCGGTGACAGATACAAACAGTTATGGTTTGAAGACCCAGTCCTTTTACGTGAACTACGAAGCATAGTAGCGAACTATGACGAATGTCCATCGGTTTTAGCTGACGACTTGGATTTGAAGTCTAAGGTTGTTATCAGTGCGTTGTGTCACTGTGATTGTCTGCTATATTTCGAAAGATTCTCCTGTTGGCTTAAATTGCTACGATGCGTTACGTGGCTCCTAAGATACAAACGTTATTTACTTACTTTTGCGGGTAAACGAACCGATCTGTCTGTGCGTCTAGGGCCAATAACTGTATAAGAATTGAGAAACAGCTGCAAAACGATAGTGAGAACGGTTCAAGCGGAATGTTTTGGTCAAGAATTAGAGCGGTTATATAGAGGCCAGAGTTTGCCTTCTAAAAGGAGTAAACGCAGACAACTTTACGAATTAAAACCAATCCTAATTGATGGTTTAGTCTGCGTGGGCGGTCGTCTACATTAAATTAATCGATCTGAAGATGGTAAACATCTCATTATTTTACCTTCAAAGCACTACATAACCCAACTTGTAATTCGTCATTACCATGAAGTAGAACGGCACGTGGGTAGTAATCAAGTTCTCTCTACTACTCGCAGACGTTACTGGATAGTGCACGGTAGGGTAGCTGTGCATCGGGTGATAGAGAAATGCCTACGGTGTCGGCTTGAGTCCGTAGGTCTTGGATTCCAGTTGATGGTACCGTTACTCAAAGAACGCGCCTGTATTAAATAACTCGCGTTCGCGCAGGTTGGCGTTGATTATTTTGGTCCTTTCTGCGTAAAGCGTGGAAGGAACGTAGGAAAGCGGTATGGCTGTTTGTTTACCTGTCTAAATATAAGAGCTGTGCAACGAGAACTTGCTCATTCCCTGTCAACTGGTTCGTTTATCCAAGCTTTAATACGGTTCATGGGGAGACGGGGACAACCTGAAGTCATCTTAAGTGATAACGGAAGTAACTTCAGAGGTGCGTATGCCGAGTTACGGAAAGGTATGCAAGGTATGTCGCAAGCCACGATTCAACACTTCCTAGTGACTCGCAAAATACGTTGGTAATTTGGACAACCTGACGCTAGTCACTGGGGAGGTGTTTGGAAAAGAATGATTAGAACCGTTAGAAATATATTTCGGGTGATTTCTCACAGCCAAAGAATGACAAATGAAACGTTACTTATACAATTTGCTGAGGTAGAAAAAATGGTAAGCAATCATCCAATAAATCTGATATCCGATGATGTAAGGAATTTGGAAGTTCTTACTCCAAATAAGCTGTTAATACTCAGAAATTATGAAACAGAATTAAATCATCTGGAACTTCCGCAGTCGTGCATTTGCCTTGGCGAAGAGTTCAGGTATTGGTTGATACCTATTGGAAACAATAAAAGTCTGAATTATTGGCCTCTTTACAAGAAAGGCCCAAATGGCAGGGAGAGGGGGGAGAGCTGAAGGCGGGAGACTTGGTGCTCGTGACCACTGAAGGTGACCATAGAAATTTCTGGCCGTTAGGAGTTGTCAGTGAGGTTCTTGCTAAGGAAGATCGACTAATAAGGGAAGTATTGGTTTGGACATCTCGTGGGACTCTGTGACGTGATGTACGCAAGTTATGTTGGTTAGAGGGTGATGACGGTCAAACGAAGAGTTCAATTTTATTCGTGCTGTGATCGTTTTTCGATGGTCATTCCCTATGAGAATTTTTGTTATTAAGGTTATTTGATATGTTCGTTGATTATTTATGTCTTTGTAAGAGTCACTTGTGCAACTTGATTTCGTTTATATGACCATGCACCTCGAAGACTAGTATCAGTTCGTTAATAGATGAAACAGATGTCGTCTTGGCAGTCTGTTCCCTTATTGTCTGTTCAGGACTCGTTTAGTGGAATGTTTGAAAATTCAACAATAAACATTGTACAGGAATATTGTGGATGATGACGGAGAATCATCCTCATTTAAGAAAAACAAACATGATGTTGCACTTGCCATTGGGTTCGACCGAGGCATATACTTGATCCTTTTAGATCAAGCCCATATAATTTTTGGTCCACAATGCTGAACATGACATCTATATTGAAATCTCTTTTATTTTGGAAGCTGCCACTGATCGGGTGTGGTGAATGCTCGTAAAGCCGTTGGTTCATGCCACCTACCTGTGAGGCGACCACCTGCACTGGGATGCCTCAAACAAAAAGGATCAGGTGCCTTATCATTCTACGGTGATGAGTAAAAAAGCACACCAAAAGAGGTCGCCCTTTACTGCACCCAAAACGTTAAGAGATTTGGTTGATTAAACAGCAATCACTGAACTCATGAAGTAATCAAATCTCTCTTTGGCCGTTAGAACGGCTTTTCATGTGGCTGACGAGGAAAGAAGCATCTTGTAGATTAAAGTATGTAAAATGAGGAAGCGCTGGCCAGGTGCAAATTATGATTCCACACGAGTCGACTCTCGAGAACCACATTGAGATTATTCTTTGCAAGTATTTGTTCGCCGTACTTATTTTAGATAAAAATTTAAATTGTTTGCAAACAGTTACAGTTTTATCATGGACGTTCATTATGTTAAAGTCGGGTGGCTTTCCGGAGGGGAGTGCTATGGCGACTGAAGCACCGTAGATGATGATGAAAACAACATTTTGATGATTCATATAGGATTTTGTGAGTGGCGTTCTCTCCTCTCTCTTTTGATCTGGCCTTTATTTATCTGTACCGTTTATTATTATTCTTGTAAAACATAACGGTTTCGACTGTCGTTTGGTTCCGCTCGGTTGAGCAATAACACTCCACTTATTCGTTTACCATTGAATGGTCCGCATACTGAGGATCACGGTCAAGCATGTATGCGAAAATTATCGTATCGTACTTCCAGATACCGTATTACACGTGATTCCACCATTGATCAGTGTTCGTTGTGT